TTGGGAAAAACTCCATTAGTGAAAGGAAAAAAGAGAATCACCATACCGAGTAAGTTATAGAACCTGCTGGTGAGGCACTGAGAAGCCCCTCACCCTGAAAGTGGGAAAGTTCTTTGAGTATACAATGATTCTGTTCTGAGAGTAAACTCCCTTATTCATTTTTTTTAGTGGCCCTGGATCCGCTCTGGGAAGTTTTTTTCCTTGTTCGTTGGCCACATCTTGCATAATATTATCCTCTTTGGAACTGTACAGCTTTTGTGGGTTACTTCCAAATAAAGCCACCTTATTTTACTTTCAAATATTCAATTAAATCAAGGTTCATGGTTTTGGCAATAAAGTTGTCTAAAATATTTGGTAAATTTTTTAAATTATTTTCTTTTAATTAATTCTTCATGCCAATAACCACATTCAATATTTTTTTTAAGCATAGCTTTAAAATTTCTTTTGTATCTTCACTTCCTCACCTCTTACCTTAGTCCTTCAACTTAATGGTAAGTGCCTGAAGGTGATCTGAGATAATGCGCTGGGTTAGGAAGGACATACCCTTAATCTGATCTTTGCTGCAATAAGTCTTAGACATTTGCTCAAAACCAAGGAACCAGATACCTGGTATGACTATGCCCTTTCTCTTCTGCTTGCAAACCAGCCAATATATTTGTTAGTTCATCTCTTTTTTTATAATAATTTCTCAAAGGCAGCCAAAACCACCAGCATATTTCAGTAACACTGTATCCCAACATCATGACCTAGAACAAAGCTCAGTAGGTATGTGGTCTAGATTCCAACTGATTGCTGGTGGCAGTTTTACCATTACATAAGATACATCACCAAACCTTTAATATGCCGCATCTGTTTCCATGCTGCCCCTAAGACAAACCACTATGCCAATGAATCCCAAAGCTCTTTCCCTGTGTTTTATGTTCCATCCATTGTTGACCAAATCTAGATAACTCTACTTCTCAAATATCTCTAAAATCCTTCCCCTCAGTTCTGTCCCCAGGGGTGCTACTTTAATTCAAGTCATCCTTTCTCATCTAAGTTTGTCCCCTCATTAGTAGAGGGGACATTTTTGCCTCCAAAATTCATCACACCTCATCTCTGCTCCCAGAAATGTTCTAAAATGTCAATACGATCACTACAACCTCTTATTAAAACATCTGAAGGGTCCCTATTGCTTTTAGGCTAAAATTAAAAGTTCTCCAATATCTGGTCTCATCTCTAATTACTCTTCAATCCTCATTTCAGTTATGTAAAGTCATTTTAGCTCCCACAAATATACCACTATCACTTTCTCAGATATCCATTATCATGTTGAGGTTAGACTATCTGACTAGATAGAAATATTTTTCTTCAGTAAACTCATTCAACCTTTTAAAATGTACCAAAGACTTTAAATCTCCCAGGAATACATCTCTGAATTAGGTATCCTTCCTACTGATTTCAAAGCAGTAAAGCTTGTTTTTTATTACAGTATGGGCCACACTATATTATAATTGTCTGTTTATCCTTCTTCATCCAACCACATATAAATTACATATGTCAAGTTTGAACTTCTTGAGGACAAGTAGCATATCTTTTGTCTCTATACATCTCACATTGTAAGTAAATGTTGGCTGAACAAACACATGAGCCCCACAATTATGGCAGGATAGTGACCCCCAATATCAATCTTTAATCTTCACCTAGCTCTCTCTTCCAGCTTCCTGATGATTGTCTCCATATGCATTTCTACTTAGCAGATCTAAGACTGAATTCATTGATTTTTTTCCCATCCCCTTCTCCAACTGCTTAAAATCCAGTGGTCCCTCTGAATTCTGATCTCAACTTAATGATGTCTATCTACCCATTTTTCCAGTCTAGCCACCTCAAAATCTTTCTTTAGGAAATCTTTGGTCAAGTGATTTGGTGATAGCCATGTAAAAAACAACAAACAGAGTTCTTTTCTGCAGCATTTCACAGAGCTTTCAATATGTTAATGTTTAATATGAACTCAACCAGTAAATGTATTTTCTTAAACTCATCTACCCAGAGATCCCTTTTGCTGAGCAGAATCCCTCAGAACTAGTGTTCAGAAGACTAAACTTTGAGAAATGCTGCTGTAAACCCCTCTCTACCTTCTTCCTTGCCCTCATCTTGAAATCACCAATGGCTTTCTCTTATATACGGGTTCAAATCCTTGGCCTGCTAATTATATTCTCTTCTAGCCTTTCTCACCTTCCTAACCTCACTTCTTATCACATCTCTCCTTTCCCAAAATGCATCACAATCTTTCTTCCTTCAGAGCTTTAATATTTTTCTCCCATGGCTCAAAATGGCCTCTTTTTTTCCCACCCTGCCTTTAACAAACTTCTCCTTAAACCCCTTCCCAATGAGAGCTCTTTTTTTTTTTTTTTTGTCTTTTTAGATTTTATTTATTCATTTGAGACAGAGAGATACAGAGTGAAAGCACGAGCATGGGGAGAGACAGGAAGAGAGGGAGAAGCAGACTCCCCCACAAGCTGGGAGCCCAATGCAGGGCTCAATCTCAGGACCCAGAGATCATGACGCAGAGATGTTTAACCATCTAGCCACCTAGACAGCTCCTAATGAGATCTCTCCTGACAAACTTTCATTCTGGCACTAGGTTAGTCACTCTTCAATATCTCCATAATGTTTTGTACTTATCTCTAGTACAGCAATTGTCACAACTGGATGTTGAAAAAGAAAAGCAAAGCTGGCAGCATCACAATGCCGGACTTCAAGCTCTATTACAAAGCTGTAATCGTCAAGACAGTATGGTTCTGACACAAAAACAGATACAGAGATCAATGGAACAGAACAGAGAGCCCAGAAACAGACCCTCAACTCTATGGTCAACTTATCTTCCACAAAACAGGAAAGACTGTCCAAAGGAAAAAAGACAGCCTCTTCAACAAATGGTGTTGGGAAAATCTGATAGCCATATACAAAAGAATGAAACTGGACCATTTCCTTACACCACACACAAAAATAGACTCAAAATGGATGAAAGACCTCAATGTGAGACAGGAATCCATCAAAATCCTTGAGGAGAGCACAGGCAGTTACCTCTACGACCTCAGTCACAGGATCTTTTTCCTAGAAATATCACCAAAGACAAGGGAAACAAGGCCAAAAATTAACTATTGGGACTTCATCAAGATCAAATGCTTTTGCACAGCAAACGACAGAGTCAACAAAACCAAAAGACAACCGAAAGAACGGGAGAAAATATTTGCAAATGACATATCTGATAAAGGACTAGTATCCAAATATCTATAAAGAACTAATCAAACTCAACTCCGAAAGAACAAATAGTCCAATCAAGAAATGGGCAGAAGACATGAACAGATATTTCTGCAAAGGAGACATCCAAATGGCCAACAGACACATGAAAAAGTGCTCAACATCACTCAGCATAAGGGAAATACAAATCAAATCCACAGTGAGATACCACTTCACACCAGTCAAATGGCTAAAATTAACCAGTCAGGAAATGACAGGCATTGGTGAGGATGTAGAGAAAGGGGAACCCTCCTGTACTGTTGGTGGGAATACAAGCTGGTGCAGCCACTTTGGAAAACAGTATGGAGATTCCTCAAAAAGTTGAAAATAGACATACCCTATGACCCAGCAACTGCACCACAAGGTATTACCCTAAAGATACAAATGTAGTGATCTGAAGGGGCATGTGCACCCCAATGTTTATAGCAACAATGCCCACAATAGCCAAACTATGGAAAGAGCCTAGATGTCCATCAACAGATGAATGGATAAAGAAGACGTGGTGTGTATGTATGTATGTGTGTGTGTGTGTGTGTATATATATATGTGTGTGTATATATATGTGTATATATATATATATATATATATATATATATATATATATATATAATGCAGCCATCAAAAAACCCAAAATCTTGCTATTTGCAACAATGTGGATGGAATGAGAGGGTATTATGCTAGATGAAATAAGTCAATCAGACAAAGACAAGTATCATATGATCTCACTGATAGAGGATTTTGAAAAACAAAGCAGGATCATAAGGGAAGGGAAGAAAACACAAACCATAAGAGATTTAATTTCAGGAAACAAACTGAGGGTTGCTGGAGTGGAGGGGGGTGGGAGGGATGGGGTGGCTGGGGGATGGACACTGGTGAGTGCTATGAATTGTGTAAGACTGATGAATCACAGACCTGTACCCTTGAAACAAATAATACATTATATGTTAATATAAATAAATGAATGAATGCATAGATAAATAAATAAGAAATTACCCAGGCATTCATCTCCACCATTACTTTATGAGCCCTTTAATCTCTGTTTATCCAACTTCTAACATAGTGCCTGCCACAGAGCAGGCACTCATTGAATGAAAATAAATTCACATGAAAGAATAACATAACAAGCAATAACAAAAGAGGAAAAGTGGAGGTGAAGTTATGAAGGCTTAAACAGAAATGTGTCATGAGAAGTCATTTATTTCAGCCATTAGTCTCTGGAAAATGATATCACTTTGCTCAAATAGACTTCCATGTTCCATCTTACCAAGCTCCTGATAAAAAGTAAATCTTTACTATAATTTGTCTTATAGGAATTCTATAGCTCCCAAAAATCTTTTTGGGGGAACACATTCACAGATAGTTTGCCTACCCTATTTATCCTACTCAACAATAGAATTCAAAGCCATAAACCTCTCACTGCTTTATTAACTGTGAACTACAGTCTGAGGTCTTATATTAGAAGAACTATCACTCTGTTGGAAGACATGGCTAAGCAATTTTGTCCCCATAAATTCCTCGTTCCTATTAGCGTACTCTCCTCTCAATTTCTGGCAGCCCCAGAGCTTAGTAACTCTTTTAATCATGCCTCCCCACCTTCCACTGCTAAGATTTAAAGTGTGGGCTTTTGTTTCAAAAAGGAAATTTCATTAAAAGCCTATCAGAAGCAAACGGTTTTGCCAGTTGGCTTAATGAACTTCTTTGTTACACCAAAAACTTACCTTTCGTGATTAGATCCATACAGTCCTTGAATTTTTCCTTTACACTAAAAATGTCTGGCTCCTTGAAAGAAGTTCGTTGTGAGGGCTCCTTAAAATGGTCACTTTTGAACAGATATTTGGGAAAACAAATACTTTTGTGTGCTGTCCGAAATTCTTGGACCACATCAAGTGTTTCCTTTTTTTTAATCTCCAAAGGTATGAATTTGCCAGATTTGGGGTTTTGATGTTTATTTTTAAAAACATTTATAGAAGTACCTTGAATTTTATTCTGTGAGTAAAACAAAAGTAAATTTAATAAAATTTAATTTTAATATTAATCATATAATAAAAGTAAATAATACATTTTATTAATAAGTTAGTAAAATTCTATCTACCAAAAGCATTTTATAAAGTACCTTACTATATAAGATATTTACTATAAAGCACATAACAGTAATCAGGTAAAGCAGATGTTATCCTTTATAGTTCTCCAAAAGCCCTTAACAAGAATGAGGGTTATATTCCACTTCAAAAGAAAAAAAAATGTAAATTCTCCAGTAATAATTTTCTCTTCACATGTGATATTTTCAAATGCAGCTTTAAAGTTTTCAAATAGTAAGCATACAAGAATTTAATAATTTTCAAGCATCTTTTAAGAATTTTTGAATGTCCATAAAATGCTAACACTCTCAAAACTCTTTCTCTGTTGAATATAAGAAATTATAGCTCATACATGGAAGTAGTTTCTCAAGTATATTAATAATCAGGTGTGTGTTTTAGATCCTTTCAATCACTTAATTCTTTCTTAATTTTGACTAGCTTGAGCAAAAGAAAAATAATACAGTTCCAGGTCTCTGATAGGTAATTATCCAAACAATTATAATTTTTCTATTCTAGACATTCTCTTGCCCCATAGGTAGAGCTATAGTTCCCTGTCCTCATCACTCCCCTCCAAAAAAAAAAAAGTTGCCAACTCAAGACACCAATAAGGAGGTTTTAATATTCTAATACTGTTTTTCCAAGCAACCAAAGATGGATAAAACTCTTTAAAAAGTCAAGGTTCTAAAGTACAACTATCAAACTGTTTAGAATGTGAAGTTTTCATTCCATGTGTCTACTAGTAAAATCAATATAATTTAAAATTATTTTCAATTGATTAGGGGAAAAAGTTAAGCAGTGGTAACAATGTTCATTATAAATTAAAACCACCTATGACCAGCTTCAGCCTAGAGGAACATTCAAATGAACTATATGTACCAATTACAACATTCCCACACACACACCGTAAGCATTGAAAAGTATTTAAAATTGTTATCCAAGATACAGGTTTTTAAAAAAAAAAATGTATTCAGGGACACCTGGGTGGCTCAGTTGATTAAGCAACAGCCTTCGGCTTAGGTCATGATCCTGGAGTCCCAGAATCAAGTCCTGCATCGGGCTACCTGCTTAACGGGGAGTCTGCTTCTCCCTCTGACCCTCTCTCTCCCTTCTCATGCTCTCTCTGTCTCATTCTCTCTCTCTCAAATAAATACATAAAATCTTTAAAAAATATATGCATTGGGGCGCTCAGCGGGGAGTCTGCTTCTCCCTCTGACCCTAAACTTCCTGTGCTTATGCTCTTTCTCTTTCTTTCTCAAATAAACAAATAAGATCCTAAAAAAAAAGGGGGGGGGATAGTATAGTGTGGCACACACAAAGCCATCTTAAGATCACCTTCCCTCACCTGTCTCCCAAAGACCCATTTGTCACAATAGCTGCTGCTCCCCAAAATTTCCCACCTCCTTTGGAGATGCTTACTACTGAAATTTCATCCTGTGCTGACTCTTTTATCTCTTTGCAGACCCAGTACCTCACACTCCTTCTCATCTTCCAAATCTATGCCATTCAGCAAATATTTATTGAGCCAGCCACAAAGCTTTTTGCTGGAGATGCAACAACCAAAAAAGAGTCACTGTCCTCAAGGAACAATCAGACTGGTAAATGGCTCTAATGCACGGTGATATGGAAGAAGAAACAAGGAAGCATGTCATGCTGGGGGCACACACCTCATGGCATATTTCCTAGTTTAGTTTTATCTAACAGTGTTTAAAGATGGATATTTATCTGAGATATGTAATTCAAATATTTCTGTTATAATTCATCAAAAGAAAAAATGAAAAATTGGATTAGGATTAAATGTGCAAATATACATGTAATTAAGTAATCTTTATAGCTATAAAATATTATTTTTAAATGCAATTTAAAATTGATTTTTATAGAGTCAAGATGGCAGAGAAGCAGCAGGCTGAGACTACTTCAGGTAGCGGGAGATCAGCTAGATAGCTTATCTAAAGATTGCAAACACCTACAAATCCAACGGGAGATCGAAGAGAAGAAGAACAGCAATTCTAGAAACAGAAAATCAACCACTTTCTGAAAGGTAGGACTGGCGGAGAAGTGAATCCAAAGCAACGGTAAGATAGACCGCAGGGAGAGGGGCCGGCTCCCGGCAAGCGGCAGAACTACGGAGCACAAAATCAGGACTTTTAAAAGTCTGTTCCGCTGAGCGACATTGCTCCAGAGGCTTAACCGGGGTGAAGCGCAGGCGGGGTCAGCGTGGCCTCAGGTCCCGCAGGGTCACAGAAGGATCGTGGGTGTCTGAGTGTCGCAGAGCTTACAGGTATTAGAATGGGGAAGCCGGCTACAGAGACGGAGCCGAGGAGTGAGCTCTAAGCTCGGGTTTACCTTGAACCGGTCGCAGGCTCGGTCAGCTGGAAGCACGGCCGGGGGCCAGGGTGACGGGAGCAATTGGGCACTGTTCTCTGAGGGCGCACTGAGGAGTGGGGCCCCAGACTCTCTGCTCCTCCGGGCCGGAGACTGGGAGGCCGCCATCTTCATTCCCGTCCTCCGGAACTCTACGGAAAGCGCTCAGGGAACAAAAGCTCCTGAAAGCAAACCCGAGCGGATTACTCAGCCCGGCCGCTGATAAGGGCGCTGCAACTCCGCCTGGGGCAAAGACACTTGAGAATCACTACAACAGGCCCCTCCCCCAGAAGATCAACAAGAAATCCAGCCAGGACCAAGTTCACCTACAAAGGAGTGCAGTTTCAATATCAAGGAGAGCAGCGGAATTCCAGAGGAAGAAAAAGCAAAGCACGGAACTCATGGCTTTCTCCCCATGATTCTTCAGCCTTGCAGTTAATTTAATTTTTTTTCTTTTTCAATTTTTTTTCTCTTCTTCTGCTAAATTTTTTTAACTTTTACCCTTTTCTATTTTAACATTTTTTAACTAGTTTATCTAATATATATATTTTTTTCCGTTTTATATTTTTTCATTATGGGTTTTCTTTTTTTATTTGTTTCTCTTTTCTTTTTTTTTTTTTTTCTTTCTGAACCTCTTTTTTTCCCCCCCCCCCCCCCTCATGATTTGGGATTTCTTCTGATTTGGCTAAAGCATATTTTCCTGGGGTTGTTGCCACCCTTTTAGTATTTTACTTGTTCCTTCATATACTCTTATCTGGACAAAATGACAAGGCGGAAAAAATCACCACAAAAAAAAGAACAAGAGGCAGTACCAAAGGCTAGGGACCTAATCAATACAGACATTGGTAATATGTCAGATCTAGAGTTCAGAATGACGATTCTCAAGGGTCTAGCCGGGCTCGAAAAAGGCATGGAAGATATTAGAGAAACCCTCTCGGGAGATATAAAAGCCCTTTCTGGAGAAATAAAAGAACTAAAATCTAATCAAGTTGAAATCAAAAAAGCTATTAATGAGGTCCAATCTAAAATGGAGGCTCTCACTGCTAGGATAAATGAGGCAGAAGAAAGAATTAGTGATATAGAAGACCAAATGACAGAGAATAAAGAAGCTGAGCAAAAGAGGGACAAACAGCTACTGGACCACGAGGGGAGATGTCGAGAGATAAGTGACACCATAAGACGAAACAACATTAGAATAATTGGGATTCCAGAAGAAGAAGAAAGAGAGAGGGGAGCAGAAGGTATATTGGAGAGAATTATTGGAGAGAATTTCCCCAATATGGCAAAGGGAACAAGCATCAAAATCCAGGAGGTTCAGAGAACCCCCCTCAAAATCAATAAGAATAGGTCCACACCCCGTCACCTAATAGTCAAATTTACAAGTCTTAGTGACAAAGAGAAAATCCTGAAAGTAGCCCGGGAAAAGAAGTCTGTAACATACAATGGTAAAAATATTAGATTGGCAGCAGACTTATCCACAGAGACCTGGCAGGCCAGAAAGAGTTGGCATGATATATTCAGAGTACTAAACGAGAAAAACATGCAGCCAAGAATACTATATCCAACTAGGCTATCATTGAAAATAGAAGGAGAGATTAAAAGCTTCCAGGACAAACAAAAACTGAAAGAATTTGCAAACACCAAACCGGTTCTACAGGAAATATTGAAAGGGGTCCTCTAAGCAAAGAGAGACCCTAAAACTAGTAGATCAGAAAGGAACAGAAACAATATACAGTAACAGTCACCTTACAGGCAATACAATGGCACTAAATTCATATCTCTCAATAGTTACCCTGAATGTTAATGGGCTAAAGGCCCCAATCAAAAGACACAGGGTATCAGAATGGATAAAAAGACAAAACCCATCTATATGTTGCGTACAAAAAACTCATTTTAAACCCGAAGACACCTCCAGATTTAAAGTGAGGGGGTGGAAAAGAATTTACCATGCTAATGGACATCAGAAGAAAGCAGGAGTGGCAATCCTTATATCAGATCAATTAGATCTTAAGCCAAAGACTATAATAAGAGATGAGGAAGGACACTATATCCATACTCAAAGGATCTGTCCAACAAGAAGATCTAACAATTGTAAATATCTATGCCCCTAACGTGGGAGCAGCCAACTACATAAACCAATTAATAACAAAATCAAAGAAACACATCAACAATAATACAATAATAGTAGGGGACTTTAACACTCCCCTCACTGAAATGGACAGATCATCCAAGCAAAAGATCAACAAGGAAATAAAGGCCTTAAATGACACACTGGACCAGATGGACATCACAGATATATTCAGAACATTTCATCCCAAAGCAACAGAATACACATTCTTCTCTAGTGCCCATGGAACATTCTCCAGAATAGATCACATGCTCGGTCCTAAATCAGGTCTCAACAAGTATCAAAAGATTGGGATCATTCCCTGCATATTTTCAGACCACAATGCTCTGAAGGTAGAACTCAATCACAAGAGGAAATTTGGAAAGAACCCAAATACATGGAGACTAAACAGCATCCTTCTAAAGAATGAATGGGTCAACCAGGAAATTAAAGAAGAATTGAAAAAATTCATGGAAACAAATGAAAATGAAAACACAACGGTTCAAAATCTGTGGGACACAACAAAGGCAGTCCTGAGAGGAAAATATATAGCGGTACAAGCCTTTCTCAAGAAACAAGAAAGGTCTCAGGTACACAACCTAACCCTACACGTAAAGGAGCTGGAGAAAGAACAAGAAAGCAAGCCTAAACACAGCACGAGAAGAGAAATCATAAAGATCAGAGCAGAAATCAATGAAATAGAAACCAAAAAAACAATAGAACAAATCAACGAAACTATGAGCTGGTTCTTTGAAAGAATTAATAAGATTGATAAACGCCTGGCCAGACTTATCAAAAAGAAAAGAGAAAGGACCCAAATCAATAAAATCATGAATGAAAGAGGAGAGATCACAACTAACACCAAAGAAATACAGACAATTATAAGAACATACTATGAGCAACTCTATGCCAACAAATTTGACAATGTGGAAGAAATGGATGCATTCCTAGAGACATATAAACTACCACAACTGAACCAGGAAGAAATAGAAAGCCTGAACAGACCCATAACCAGTAAGGAGATTGAAACAGTCATCAAAAATCTCCAAACAAACAAAAGCCCAGGGCCAGACAGCCTCCCTGGGGAATTCTACCAAACACTTAAGGAAGAACTCATTGCTATTCTCCTGAAACTGTTCCAAAAAATAGAAATGGAAGGAAAACTTCCAAACTCATTTTATGAGGCCAGCATCACCTTGATCCCAAAACCAGACAATGATCCCATCAAAAAAGAGAACTACAGACCAATATCCTTGATGAACACAGATGCAAAAGTTCTCACCAAAATACTAGCCAATAGGATTCAACAGTACATTAAAAGGATTATTCACCACGACCAAGTGGGATTTATTCCAGGGCTGCAAGGTTGGTTCAACATCCGCAAATCAATCAATGTGATACAACACATTAATAAAAGAAAGAACAAGAACCATATGATACTCTCCATAGATGCTGAAAAAGCATTTGACAAAATACAACATCCCTTCCTATAATCAAAACTCTTCAAAGTGTAGGGATAAAGGGCACATACCTCAATATTATCAAAGCCATCTATGAAAAACCCATCGCAAATATCATTCTCAATGGAGAAAAACTGAAAGCATTTCCGCTAAGGTCAGGAACACGGCAGGGATGTCCGTTATCACCACTGCGATTCAACATAGTACTAGAAGTCCTAGCCTCAGCAATCAGACAACAAAAAGTAATTAAAGGCATCCAAATCGGCAAAGAAGAAGTCTAACTATCACTCTTCGTAGATGATATGATACTATATGTGGAAAACCCAAAAGACTCCACTCCCAAACTGCTAGAACTTGTACAGGAATTCAGTAAAGTGTCAGGATATAAAATCAATGCACAGAAATCAGTTGCATTTCTCTACACCAACAACAAGACAGAAGAAAGAGAAATTAAGGAGTCAATCCCATTTACAATTGCACCCAAAACTATAAGATACCTAGGAATAAACCTAACCAAAGAGGCAAAGAATCTATACTCAGAAAACTATAAAGTACTCATGAAAGAAATTGAGGAAGACACAAAGAAATGGAAAAATGTTCCATGCTCCTGGATTGGAAGAATAAATATTGTGAAAATGTCTATGCTACCTAAAGCAATCTACACATTTAATGCAATTCCTATCAAAGTACCATCCATTTTTTTCAAAGAAATGGAACAAATAATCCTAAAATTTATATGGAACCAGAAAAGACCGCGAATAGCCAAAGGAATATTGAAAAAGAAAGCCAAAGTTGGTGGCATCACAATTCCAGACTTCAAGCTCTACTACAAAGCTGTCGTCATCAAGACAGCATGGTACTGGCACAAAAACAGACACATAGATCAATGGAACAGAATAGAGAGCCCAGAAATAGACCCTCAACTCTATGGTCAACTAATCTTCGACAAAGCAGGAAAGAATGTCCAATGGAAAAAAGACAGCCTCTTCAATAAATGGTGTTGGGAAAATTGGACAGCCACATGCAGAAAAATGAAATTGGATCATCTCCTGACACCACACATGAAAATAGACTCAAAATGGATGAAGGACCTCAATGTGAGAAAGGAATCCATCAACATCCTTGAGGAGAACACAGGCAGCAACCTCTTCGACCTCAACCACAGCAACATCTTCCTAGGAACATCGCCAAAGGCAAGGGAAGCAAGGGCAAAAAGGAACTATTGGGATTTTATCAAGATCAAAAGCTTTTGCACAGCAAAGGAAACAGTTAACAAAACCAAAAGACAACTGACAGAATGGGTGAAGATATTTGCAAACGACATATCAGATAAAGGGCTACTGTCCAGAATGTATAAAGAACTTAGCAAACTCAACACCCAAAGAACAAATAATCCAATCAAGAAATGGGCAGAAGACATGAACAGACATTTCTGCAAAGAAGACATCCAGATGGCCAACAGACACATGAAAAAGTGCTCCATATCACTCGGCATCAGGGAAATACAAATCAAAACCACAATGAGATACCACCTCACACCAGTCAGAATGGCTAAAATTAACAAGTCCGGAAATGACAGATGCTGGCGAGGATGCGGAGAAAGGGGAACCCTCCTACACTGTTGGTGGGAATGCAAGCTCGTGCAACCACTCTGGAAAACAGCATGGAGGTTCCTCAAAATGTTGAAAATAGAACTACCCTATGACCCAGCAATTGCACTGCTGGGTATTTACCCTAAAGATACAAACGTAGTAATCCGAAGGGGCACATGCACCCGAATGTTTATAGCAGCAATGTCTACAATAGCCAAAGTATGGAAAGAACCTAGATGTCCATCAACAGACGAATGGATAAAGAAGATGTGGTATATATACACAATGGAATACTATGCAGCCATCAAAAGAAATGAAATCTTGCCATTTGCGACGACGTGGATGGAACTAGAGGGTATCATGCTTAGCGAAATAAGTCAATCGGAGAAAGACAACTATCATATAATCTCCCTGATATGAGGGAGAGGAGATGCAACATGGAGGTTAGGGGGGTAGGAGAAGAGTAAATGAAGCAAGATGGGATTGGGAGGGAGATAAACCATAAGTGACTCTTAATCTCACAAAACAAACTGAGGGTTGCTGGGGGGAGGGGGGTTGGGAGAGGGGGGGTGGGTTTTTTATGGACATTGGGGAGAGTATGTGCTATGGTGAGTGCAGTGAAGTGTGTAAACCTGGCGATTCACAGACCTGTACCCCTGGGGAAAAAAATATATATTTATAAAAAATAAAATTTAAAAAAATTGATTTTTATAGCTAGTAAGGATTTCATTTTTCTCTTCTATTCAGAGACTACTAGGGTTCATGCAACCATTTGGAACAATCATTGTCGTATACAAAAACAGTTATTAGTTTCCTGGAAAATAAGTTAGATTAAAAGCATTAACCTCATTTATTTTCTCATAATGTTGGGCAATGAGAGTTTTTGCTTCTTGAAAAAAATCTTGCTTGATCTCGAATACAGGACCTAAAACAAAAACACAAATGTTTTATTTTTTTAATGTAACTAATGTACTTTCTTAATCACAAATGGCAAAACTGTGAGATTAAAATTTGGGCAGTGATGATTCTTGCAGAACATTATAAATGGTTAAGTGTTCCAAGTGGAAATTAACAGTGGATGCAAAAGATGTAATGCTCTTTCAATGTAACAGTTTACTTTAATGGTGATAGTGAAGGGTAGATTATCCTAATTAAAGTCTAAGGGAACTAATTAAAGTACACAAAATTCAAATCCCCTTCAGCTTTTAAAGCTTTAAAAGTTTTTTTAAAGCTTTTAAAGTTCTTTAAATATTACTGTACAGAAGACAAAACATGACTTGGGCAAAAAAGTATTAACCAATCTAAGTGTGTTCTCTATACCTGATGACTAACTCATATGGCTGTACATTCCTTTACAAATATTTACCTTACAACTAGTTAAAATTATAATTGCAAAATAGACTCAATAGGTTTATTAGGTAGGAATAGCATTGAAATAAAAAATACACAGCTATAAATGGGTAACATTATAATAATTCTTAGTTATATTTTCTTAAGATTCTTACTCTTTTTATTTAGAGTAATATATAGAATTCTATAGCATAGACTATATCATTCTTGGTCTTGTCTAAGTTTTTCTCCTAATATATTTCCTTCATTAGTAGCTGATTCTGACATTTATAAGTGTTTCTTGGCTTCCTCTCCTTAACCCTAATTCAGTAAAATTTAAATATATTACCAAATTATTGATTCTAATTGGCTTTTCAATACAGCCAGTGTGCTCCCATTCCTATAACTATACCTTCTTTAGTATTCTTAAGATCTCTCTTCTTCTCCCCCTCATATTTTAAGCAATTAAAAAATTCATCTTGGGCACCTGGGTGGTTCAGTCAGTTAAGCGTCTGCCTTCGGCTCAGGTCTTCGATCTCAGGGTCCTAGGATCAGGTTTGGAGTTGGGCTCAGCAGGGAGTCTGCTCATTCCTCTCCCTAGGCCCCTCTCTCCCCCTGCTCATGCTTTCTCTCTCTCCCTCCCTCTCTCTCTCTCACTTTCAAGTAAATAAATAAAATCTAAAAATTAATTAATTAATATTTCATCTTCATGTAAATCAAAATCATGATGAGATACTGTCTTAGTCCATTTGGGCTACCATAGCAAAACACCACAGGCTGGGTGAATTACAAACAACAGTCATTTATTGCTCACAATTCTGAGGCACGAGGTATAAGATCAAGGTGCCATCATGGTCAGTTGAGGGTCCTCTTCCAGGTCCCAGACATCTAGTTGTATCCTCACAAGGTAAAGGGACTAGGAAGCTCTCTGGAGCCCCTTTTATAAGAGCCCTAATCCCCTAAGTGAGTGATCCATTCTCATGACCTAATCACCTCCCAAAGGCCCTACCTCCTAATACCATCACCTTTGGAGTTGGAATTTCAACATTCCAATTTTGGGGAGACCAGAACATTCAGATCATGACAGATACCACCACATACCCACCAGAATGGCTAACATTAAAAAGACTGATAACAGCCCAAATTGGGGATGCTGTGGAGGTACTGGAACAGTCACGTGTCATTGGTAGAAATGCAAGATAAGATAATCAGCTTGGAAACATTATAGCAATTTCTTATAAAACTTAATATACACCTAACCTGGGACCTAGCAATCCCACTCCTAGGTATTTATCAAAGAGAATGAAACGTATTTTTGCAAAAGCATTGTACAAGAATGCTCATAGAAGCTTTATCCATAATAGCTCTAAACGCGAAACAGCTCAGATGTATATCAACAAGAGAACAGTAAACATACTGTGGTAGATTCACAAATGAAATACTGCTCAGCAATAAAAAAGAAGCAAGCTACTGTCATACACAACATGGATGAATTTCAAAATCATTATGCAAAGCAAGCATCCTTACACACACACACACACACACACACACACACACACACAGAATATTTTATAGTTCCACTTAATATGAAGTTCTGGTGCAAACACAGCTAATATACAGGAGATAGAAAGGAACGGTGATTTTTCTGGTCAGGGATGGCATGGACTGAGAAGGGACAGGAAAGAAATTTCTGGGGTAACAGTAATGTTCTATATTTTGATGCACAGTGGATCAATCACACAGGCATATGTAATTATTATAACTCAGTGAATATATACTAAAGATTTTGGCATTTTATCATACATTTTATATCAATAGAAGGAAAAATATAAACAAATAATGAGTTCTGAGTAATAATATGCATGTTGATGGAAGGATATGAAATAAACAAATACAGAAAATATTCATGGTAAAAACTGGGTGGTAGGTCTATGGGTGTTAATTTAAAATTCTTTCAAGCTTGCTATACGTTTGAAATTTTCAAAACAAAATATTGGGGACAAGTTTTCCCTCATTCATTCACAAAATTTCCCCTGGCTTTTCTCCACATAAACTCAGGGGCCACAGGCAGCTGTTAGTTTGGGGGCAATGTCATCCTGAGGACGGAAGCCTGGGGGAGACCCTCCCAATAAAGGAGGGAGACAACTGGACTCTTTTGCCAACCTCCCCCCCAAAAATGCTGGGTTAGGAGAAAAAGCATCTCCTAAGGTGTCTCATCGCTAGGCAGTGGAATTGCTGCTCTGCAATCATTCTAGAAAGAACAACATCTTTTCTTGTTCCTAGCTTCTTCCCTCCTTCCACTCTCACATATGGAAAGTATGTAAGTCATCGACAAGCTCAAATCTCCCTGTCCGCCCACATTTGCCTCTGTAACTCCCCACATTAAGAGATATCTACATATTTCTAAGGATATAGATTGGTGGATTTTTTTTCCTCTATTAAAAGTTCTTGTCAAGACTTCAAGCACGTGCTTCAAGAAGTATACATGCTCCTTGTACAGATTTGAGCACAAAGTCACACGTCAATCATAAAATGGTTCATATAAATGTCACCACTCAAAGCCATATGATACACAGTCCTCACATGGAAGAGACAGGTGTTCAGGAATGAAAACTGTCTTGTCAACTTTCAACTAAAATCTAAATCTACTTTGAGGGGACTCTAACCAGACCATGTGCTCCCCAGAAGAAAAGCAGTAACATATTCCAGGCTGTGATTCTACGTCTTCTCTGTTTCTTCCTCTCGTGACATCTTTCCTCCTTTAATTCCCTTCTTCTGACTACCTCCCTTATAATTACTTATAATTATAGTATTGCTATGAGTCATACACATGACAAACAATATCACTTATTCATATATGAAATGATGAAGTCACTAGTTTGGGGTGAAAATGTAGCTTTATAAAAACTATCATGTCTTCATTCCAAATGAAGATCTAATCTTCATTTATAGGCAAAGCTTTTGTACACAGAGGGCCCTCCTGAAGCCAGCGATGCTGGAAGCCCTCCCAGGAGCTGGTCCTGAGTTACTTCCTGCTTTTTTTCTACGTATCTGCTGTTATTCCTGATGCCATGTACTACTCCTTGTGAGTACTGGAGGCTCTTCTGAGGTTTGCCTGGTCACTCTAGTGAAATATTTGCCTTTCATTGCCACTTCCTGCTATGGAATGAAGACAGGTATTCCACCAAAATTCATATGTTGAAACCTAATGCCCATGCCGGTATGATGGTATTAGGAGGAGGGTTATGAGGGTGGAGTCCTCACGACTGAGATTAGAGCTCTTTGAAGGAGCCTCCAGAGAGCTAGGTAGTCCCTTCCATCCTGTGAGCCTTCAGTGAGAAGACATCCGTCAGTGCGGAAGCAGGTCTCACCAGACACCAAATCACTGGCACCATTATCTTGCACTTCACAGTCTCCAGAACTAGAAGAAACAAATTCCTGGGGCTTATAAACCACTCAGATTATGACATTTTGTTGCAGCAGCCCAAACAGACCACAACACTTTCATCTCAAGCTGTCAATCCTGTAATGTAATGTAATGTTCTGATAAAGCTGTTCTGATTCTTTCCCTTCTTAATTGGCCTTAGACAGAGGAGTTAAATTCCCAAGGCAGCATCTTACTTCTCTCTGGGCTCTTTGATGTCCAGTGTGTCTGATTTCCCCCATCACCAAGAGCCACCTGTCATCTGGGAACTGTGGAGGAGCCAGTACACTCTGGCAATGTTAATGGCCCTCTTGGAGCCAGTAAGTAGATTGACTCATCAGGGACTGCCAGACTGAACCCACACAGTCAGGCTGTGAAGTTCTTGAACAGGACAAGGCCTGGGACTGTTCTTAAAGGGGCAGAGAAAGGCAGCCACCACCCGAAGAGAGGGATTTCTCACAGATCTTAAAATGGCTCCAGCTGAACGCATGTTGACACGCTGACTCCAAGTTGGCATTTAAGCCTGAACCCTCATTGGCATTTAAGATGCTGAGGCAGCTGCTCGGACTTTCTCCAGTAACTGAAAATTAGCCTTTGAACCAAAAAATTAACTTCTCAAGGTAGCACAAGAGAATTCACATCTCAGTGCCTTAGGAAAGGCAAATGGCCGGTGCCAGTTTCTCCCAGAAAAGAAAAGAAAAAAGAAAAAAAAAAAGAAAGAAAGAAAGAAAAGGCAAAACTAGTGTGTGTTATTTTTTAATTTGAATTGATACATTTCAACAAAGCAGTCTAAAATTATGAGACATTAACTTTGATGTTAAGAATCCATCTAATTAATATTCTTTGAAGTTTCTGTGGCTTTGTTCATCATATGTTAACTATACAAGCATGCAGCTTTTATACATTGAAGTACACACTGGAACTTCAATTATTAAGAGGAAGCTGTCAAGGTCTGCTCCTTCTCTTAAAAAAATCTATAATTAAGGCTTTGTTTATTTGCAAATATGAAATATTTGCATAGAAAATGACTTTTAAGAGCTCTTATTCCTGAGTCACACTATTTTGCTCTTGAATTACAATTTGCTCATGAGTCTTATTTTATTGTCTTCAGCTTTCATTTTCTCATTTGTAAAATGAGGGTGATAATAATCGGGGATCTTGAACGAGGTTGTGAGGATTCAGTTGGACTTGGTTACAAAGCACTTAGCACAGTGCCTGGCACATAAAAGTTTTTTAAAAATGTGAGCAATTATTACTGTAGTTATTGTATGATTACTATCATTGAGCTCAACTTTTCTCTAACCATGTTTATATTATTAATTTCATTAGTCAATCCTCATTTCTTCAGTAGCACAAAGATAAATTTCAACTTTCTAAACTTGTTTGAATAAATCTGGTCTTATTACAGGTCTTTTTATCTAAAACTAATTGATTTGCAAATAATAAAATGTCATTAAACTTTGGATTCTTCAAGTTACTAATCCCCCAAAGCAATAAAAAATAATTATAAACAATAACAAGTATTTTATGATAAAGTTATGAAAAGACTGAAATACTTATACTACTTACATAAAACATGAGCACAAATAATAACATTTCCATGGGGAAAGATAATGAATTTCTAATGCCAAATGATTTCACTAGGCTAAATTGTTTTCTTATTTATTTTATATATTTTTTAAAGATTTTTATTGATTTATTTGACAGAGAGAGAGAGACAGCAAGAGAGAGAAAGAGAGAACACAAGCAGGGGTGTGGGAGAAGGAGAAGCAAGCTTCCCATTGAGCAGGTAGCCTGATGCAGGGCTCAATCCCAAGACCCTGGGATCATGACCTGTGCCAAAGGCAGATGCTTAACTACCTAGCCACCCAGGCACCACTATTTTATATTAAAAAAAAAAACTCAGTCTTTGTATATCATCAGTTTAATAGTATTATGATTGGTAGTTCATAAAACTTCAGATTTCCCTAAATCCTTTAGAGGATCTGTGTAATTGTTCTAGTAAATCTCTAAAGTGAAGATCCCAGAAGACTAATTATGGAAGCTGTAACAGGGAACAAGCCATTGGCCATCTCTTGACTGTATCATTGAGCAAATCTTTTCTCTCTAGAAAGACCGAGGGGCTTGCAAACATGTGTTTTTTTATAACCATAACTAAAATAACTGGCCTTACTAAGAGGCTTTCTAAACTTCCTACAAACTGGTTGCATTCTCCATAGACTTCACAAAAATTTACTAAGGAGATATCCTGAACAAAGATATATGGCTACATATCTAAGGACTTCCTTGCCTATATAGTCAAAGCAAGTGCCTGTATGTTTGATTTCACAGATGTTAGAAAAGCCATACCTCAAATTCAATGAGATTTAGTTTAGCATATGTTCCTTAAGCAACTACTAAGTCCCAGATGCTAAATGTGCTTAATTTGGTGCTAACCTAGTGCTAAATGTGCTGAAATACATAGGATATTAGGTATGCCCACCTTCCAGGTACTTAGAGCCTAATGCCAGGAAAAAAAAAAAAGTCAATAAATGCCATGACATTCAATATGATCCATACACTGTGACAGAGGCCAGCATAAGTCACCAACAGCCCCTACTGCCAGTTCACGAATATATGAATTCCCCTTTTAAGATATAGGACTTTGCATTGTATTATTAGAGACAAGGTTTAAAAAAGAAGTATCCCAAGAGAAATAAAACAGTGAATCAAATCCAGACTAAGGCAGTGATTTTAAAATTGTGTTTCATCAATTTCATGTGACTTCAGGGCTCTTCCTTCTTCCAGTCAGAGCAGCTCAGACCTTATCTGTTTTGTATATTTGAGCTCTTCCTAAGTTTTCATTTTGTAGGAAATATTCCTTGGCTAAAAGTAACAAACACACAGCAAATGAGTAAAAAACAAACTAACAAAGGATTGACTATTACTGTGTGTGCTGAAAGATCTCCCTCTCAAAGCAGGTTCAGAGGAAGGGCAGGGTTAGGTTAGGAGAGGGGAGATGCTTAGGGGCAAGGAGCAAGAAAGGGAAGCTGGAACAAAGATGGTTTAATTCATTCCAGGGCAAAGAATTGTGGAAACTAGGAGATGGAAAGGAAACCCTTCGAGGAAGAACCTCAAAGAAAATAGTTTATATTCAACTTCATTACATATAAGGGAGGAAAATATAATTTGTCTAATTTATTTTCAAAAAGAGTTCAAAAACTAAGTGAAACCCAAATTCCAAGTGGCACATGACTATCATCTCCTAAAACCTACATTCGACAATCATTTCTACAACACATTCTGCATTAAGACCCAACATTTCACTTCCAATGGAACAGCATTCTGTTGTCTCTTACACACTTTTCCTCACTCCCCGACTTTCTTTATTCCTTCTTTAGCAAAGTGGCTTATTGTCTTTGTAGTAATAAGTGATTAATAGGTTGCCTACCTACCTCAGGGAGATTTTACAGTGCACCTCCCCTCTAAAAAAAAAATTAAAAAATCTCTATGTTATTGTCTCTCAGAGTGGATTCAGCTGTTAAGGAGATACAGGTAAATTCCTAGCTCTCAGGATCAAGCCTTCAAATATAATTTAAGTAATTATGGGCATGACCCAAAGGCAAAATGGAACTAGAGAACATTTTTCCTTTCTGCCCTTTCCATCTAAAAATGTGCTGTATTATCCAAATAGAGAATTACAGTAATCCACATGGCGCTCTATTTGTAGCCTAGAACAGAAGCCCACGAGCCTGTATCAAGAGCCAAGAGGAAATTGATTAACCAGAAAATCTTGGTAATCCCTACCCTCTATTCAGCACTCCATGTTTCTCAATCAGGCTATGTAAGCCTAAATTTAAGATTACCTGAAGTGTTGCCAAGTCTAGATCAGCTCTAAAAGAAATACAATGCAAGGCACATATGTAATTCAAAATTTTCTAGTAGTCACATTTTTAAAAGTGAAAGAGATGAAATTAATTCTAATAACATACAGTAATTGTTATAGATTTTATTTAAACTATATCCAAATATTATCATTTCAACATTAATCAACATTAAAAATTAATGAGACGCTTTACATTCTTTTTTGTTCTGTCTTCAAAATCTCGTATGTATTTTGCACTTACATACCTCTCAATTCAGATGCTGGCCTTTAATCAAAAATTGATTAAAAATTTGATCTGTATTTAGATTTTATGAAGTACCAACTTGCAAAAATATATTCACATGTCCCAAACATGGTTAAGCATTTTCCAATGACTGAATTACCACCTTTTTGTACTGAAATTAAAATGAGTTAGAATTAAATATTCAGATTTGTGGTTTCTGGTCCCACTTCAAGCACTGAATCGCCATAGGTGGCTAGTAGACACCATATTGGACAGCACACTAAATTAAAAGTTGCTATAGATCTCTCAAAAGTTGGTTATATTTAAATGAAGGGAATGAGATGAACTTTTACAAGGTACAACAATAACTTTAGTGCTCCAAGGATTAATAACTAAAAGTTTCCTCAAAGCTGTTAGAGCCCTGCACTATGTACTGAGTTGTTTTGGAAGTGTGGTACTTACATTCTGCTTCATCAGGCATAGCCTCTGTAGCAACCATGATGGGCAATTAGGGTGACCTTCCTTTTGAAAGCTGGGCTCCAAGTCCCTAAACACAATTACAGTAAATAATGTTGATAATAAATACTTATTTTTAGCTATTTCTTTCACCCACTCATAAAAAAAAAAAATTAGATGAATTATTAACCCTTGTTATACATCACTCCTCTGCTGAAAATCTTCCATGACTTCCCCTCCAAAAGACAGTGATAATAACAGCTAGCATTGGGTGGGGCTCTGTGGTTTACCAAGTTGCTTGTATACATATTACCTTACTGGTTCAGAACAACCTGACAGGAACTATTGTCTGACTTTTGACAGATGTGGAAACTGTAGCTTAGAGATGTGAAACAGCTTGTCAACATAAGCTGCTATTTTGTGGCACAGACAGAACTCCAATCCCTGTCTTTAGACCCAGGGCCTATGCAGGCCCCTCTGATTTCTCACTATTTTCCATATAATATTCAATTAATACCTGGCATATACCTTACACATCCTTTCCTTGGGCTTATGCACTTGAGCTTAGGTTGAAGTTAGACTTCTACCCAGAATGCCCTGTTCTCACACATTTTTTTAAAATCTATGTCCTACCCATCCTTACAGCATAGGTTCAAATCTTACCTCCTTCATGATCACCCCAGCCTCTAGGAATATGTTCTTGTAAACACAGTAGTCATGTTGTCCATGTCTCTCACTTGAAACTTATATACTTCTGTGTAAGGAACCAAAAACAACAACAACAACAACAAAACAGAGTGATAGATATAAATAGAAGTCCTATGTTCCCAACTAAACTCCAAGGCCTTGAAAACCAAACTATACTTCATACCAGGGTTCCTCAACTCCTCAACCCTGGATGTCTATTAGAATTGCCTGTGTGGGAGGTGATTAAAAAGATACCAGTTTAGAGTGGGACCTAGGCATCTGCATTTTTTAAGTTTCCCAGATGGTTAGCTGGAAGAGCAAACCCCTGCCTTTTGCCTTGACCTTCATGGTTTCCAGTTCAGTGCATCCCATTCTGGCAGTGCTCAATAAAGAGCTGATCCATGTGTTTTTTGAGCTGAGCCCTTCCTCCTACATTTGAAATTATCATTACTTCCAAAGGATTATCCAAAATGCATCAAATGTTGCCCCTACAGACAAGGAATCAGTTACACCAGTAACTGAGTACTACTGTGTGCTCACATTGCTTTATAATTAGAAATAGCAATATGAAATATTTTACAGAGTCCCATGGAGCCTCTTGTTCTAAAACTCTAGATAAAAGGTGAAAGCCGTGTTAAATAATTTGGAGATTATGAGTAAATTCACAATCCATGGAGTACCTGGGTAGCTCAGTCATTAAGCATCTGCTTTTGGTTCAGGTCATGATCCCAGAGTCCTGGGATCAAGCCCCACATCGGGCTCCCCACACAGCAGGGAGCCTGTTTCTCCCTCTGACCTCCCACCCTCGTGTTCTCTCTCTCTCAAAAAATAAATAAAATATTTAAAAATAAATCCATAAACCATCATGGGTCTATGGAAGTCATGACTCTACAGCCACATATTCTTAGATAAAAGGCTCTGACACTTTTCCTCAGCATCTACCCGGAGGGGGGAACATATTAGAATTACAGTTTTTAAAATAACAAATCTGGAACATCGAAAAACAGTTAATTCTCAAACTGTCAGCATTATACCATAGCAAGAGCACAGACCACATACCTCATCTGCCTGGTTCTACAAATGAACTGGGACAAATTAAAATACTGCACCGCCCTTAGCAATTAACAATCAGAACTCCTCTTCTGGTCTGGCTTAATTACTGTCTTCTTTTCATTTAAATATAGGAAGAAAATAAAGGTGTTTTCTGCTCTGTCATTTTCTTGTTCTAATCGCCATAGAAATGGACTCTTCTCTGGGGTATTTGGCTCCTCCACCTTAATTCAGGTTGCCAGGAGTGTCAGCCTGCATTAAATTGGCTGGCAAGCAAGACATCACACAGCCCTTTTAATGCACAAACCTAGCCAAGCATCCTAAGGGGTGCTGGCATGGTGATGCTCCCGCAAACCCAAGGTGATAGGGGATGCTGAGATAGGAGCTGGGGGTGGAAAAAGCCCCTCACCACTTTACATCCCCGGCTGATAGTTAGGAAATGCTGAGTCCCTCCTAATATGTCCGTCAATTAATAAATACAAATCTAGTATCTGGGTTGTACAAGGGGTATACCATCTATTTTGGAAGAAAAGACAAACACGTAAGTCAAAATTTTAAATAAAATGCAAACAACTATATACCAGATGTCATCAAAAAGTCTGTAAGCTAGGGCTGGCTTAGTTGGTAGAGCATCTGACTCTTGACCTTGGGATCATGAGTTTGAGCCTCATACTGGGTGTAGAGATCATTTAAATTAGGGGGGGGGGGAAGTTCATGAGTTTTGTAAGTAAGTGTATAAACCCATGAGTGCCATGAGTTCAAATGAAGATGGGATCCTTGGAGGCTGAGAAAGTGACCAAAGAAAAGTGTTAAGGGAGAATGAGTGAAATGGAAGGTTAGGTATAGGGATAACAGCGCCATTTTGATTAACTGGTTCAGTATAGGCATCAACTAGTTAGAACTGGATGCTGGCCAGCACACCTGTGTGGTACTGAATATCAGTCCAGCTGATTTAAGAGGAAAAGAGAAGCAAATGCAAGGTGAGAACAGAACGTACATGGTTTGGGGGACAGCAAGCAGTGGCTCTGATTTAAGCACAGGGTTGGACTCTATGCTGCTGAAATGGGCAACAAACCACTGAAATATTTTGAAGCAGGCACTGACATAAGTAGTGTTCTGGAATGTGACTTCCGTAAGAAAGGACTTTGTTTTCTTCCCTGCTGTAGTCCCAGTGCCTTTAAGAGGACCTGGCATTAAGAAGGATTTCAAAACTTGTTTGTGGAATGAGTAATTATGGCAACAGCATGTTGGACAGGGATGGCCTACCTTCTCAGGTCTTTTCAGGCTATCTGTGAAAATATCCTTCCTCCCCTTCTCCTCCAGTAAGTGCAAATCAAGCCTCTCCTATTGGGTTATAGGAAGGCTAAGGGTTTCTAATTCTATTCCCATGTGGATAAAAAGCAAACAAAAGTGGAAACAATATTTCCCTTCTTTATCTCCTTAGCTTGTCCTTCCAAAGCAGATGACTGATAAGACTTTGTCATGGTACCCTGCATAATTAAGGATCCTGGTGAAAAAAAAAAAAAAAAAAAAAAGAAAACTGCCCTGTGGCATTCAGCAGGACTTGAGGAAACATGTCTTGATCCAAGAATCTAAACAGGCAGTTTCAACAGTTGATAGAGGGTGCATAAGAGCAACCTGACCTTCAATCACATGTTATTCCCTTCTCATTTCTCCATGTTAGAAATTGCACCTATATCCATCCAGTTGCCCAAGTCATAAAACATTGACTCCTTCTACATTTTACTTATCACATCCAATCCATCAAGTCTTCTAAATTTTAACTTCAAAATATATCTCCTTCTCCTCAACTTCCCTCTTCCAGCCACAATCATTTTGTTCTTGGAATGCTGAAACAGCCTCCTAACTGCTATCTTAATTCCCACTCTTATCCTATTCCAATTCCTTCTCCACACAGCAGGAATTGTCTTCTTAAATGTATATCAGAGTGTATCATTTCCTTTCCAGGACTTCCAAATGTATTTAGAATAAAACCTAGCTCTTTGCTTTGGGCTTTTCTCTCTCTTGCAACTGAGTAAATATGGATGAAAAATATAGGACTAATATCCCACAGCTCCATCAGGAACTGAGCCAAGGGACTTGCTTTGACTTTTCTTAGCCTTTACTTTCTTCATTTGCAAAATAAAACTATTGGGCAAGAAGACCTCAAAGGCCCCATTACTTCCTAAAATCTATTTTTACATTGCTTTTGTAATGTATATAATTCTAACTGGCTCCAAATTTCAAAAACTGCATGGTTAAGAGTTCCCGTCTCCACCCTGTCTCTCTCCACTTTTCTCTGTTCTCTGGAACTTGGGAGCAGAATATCCAAGAAAGTGGCCCAGGCCTGACCTCTTTCCATCATTCCCTGGTTACAACCCTCCCAGTGTACCTCTCAACCCTTGGCCATGACGGTTGCCCTCTCATATTTTGTCCTGTCACTTGTCTTCTCATAAGTGTGAACCCTCCTCCACTTTTTCTCTTTCAAGTCAACAAGGACCTTCAGGTCATTTCCCAGATTTGCTTCCTGACTTCTCTCTGTCGAGACTCCTTGGTTCCTCTGACCAGACACCAGATATCCTGGCACCAAACAATGGTGACCTTTGGTGAAAGGAGAAAAGAGAAAGAAGTACAGAGTGGAACAAGTCCTCACTAGGTCCAATGTAACAGAGCCAATACTAGGCATCCATAATGGATAAAAAAGTATACCAGACAATAGGAGAATAAAAAACTTACAACAGTAGAAAATTATGAACCAAATAATCAGATGGCCATAAAATGAGTCGGAAAGAAGATACTTTATGAATGCATGATCATTAATATCAGCTAAGTTGGGATCCTGGGGAATGTGTGTTAACAGTGGCAAACACACTCCTTTCCCGGCACAGAAACCTCCCTCTGATTCTCTAATGAACTTGGGTGAATACACTTCTCAGAGCCAGGAAGTGGGAAGGAAAAAGACATAATTGAATATTAGGATATTGCTCCAGCTGACACAAATATCAGAGTCTCAGAGCACTGTGGAGAGAGCAAAGCTGGATTTCAGTCCTGATTCTGCCATTGCCCAAGTGTGTGATCTGGGCCAAACCACTTAACCTCACTGAATTCCACCTCCTTTCTGAACTCCTATCTATAAGTTAAGGACTTAAAATAGACACACAATTTTTAAAAGAGGAGCTTCAACCTATGTTTAAAGGAACTCTTCCTCAGAAGTCAATGAGGACAACAGATGAAAGCCTTGATGTTCTGAATGAGGAAGGTCTCTGAGCTTCTCCCAGTATGGCTGTCACTGCACCAACTCCAACCCCAACACTACCAGATCAGAAATCCCCAGAAGATGACTTCATAGGGGCC